CAGTAACGTCCAGTGGACGGTTAAGTCACTGAACATGAACAAAAGAATATTTCTCTTTGTTAGAACATATGCGGAGGTAGCAAATATTACAATTTTGGGGGGTTATGCAAGTTGTAATTTGTAATTTTTATTAAGTAAATTGATTTCTGAGCTGTAACTGGTGAATAGCTCTTCTGATTAACTTTAAACTTTAAACTCTGATATATCTAATTTAGATAAAGGTTTTTGTTGATTTTGGGCACTATAGGTAATTTTTTGCCATTCTTTTTAAAGAAATCAGGAAATATGAAATACTGCTTTTGATGTGATTCTTTGCTGCCTCATCCAGGCAGCTTCAAACCTTCAACGACGAAAATTTGATAATATAATTTATGAGCTGTTTCAAACTTAGTGCTGGTGTATTTTCGGAAATTAATCTGTATGTGATAACTAGAAAATACGTCTTCTAATTGGCTTTAAATTTTGAAAGCTGGTTTTTCTTAGTGGAAGCTTCGAATTGGCACCTACATCCTCCAGAAGGACTGTCTAGGTGCCAGTTTGCCAATTTTTACTGAAGCAATTGAGATAGTTTACATGGGATAATTTGTACATGCCTCTTCTGACTGACTTGAAACCTTCAGTGCTGACAAGTATCTGCACCCTGTACTACTCCTTTTGTTTAAATTAAGCTAGAGGGTGCTGGGTTTATGGGATATTAAGATACCTTTTTCGGATTGCGTAGTGACTGAAATACATGTAGTTGAATCACACATAAACTAGATCTGGATATATTGTATACACCCAGAGACCCTCTTCAGGAGATAAGTGTACATATTACTGACTGAGATGTATGTAGACTTGCATGTGACCTGGCTGACGATGGGCAAGTGAGAATGAAGAATGGAAAAATCTGTCGAAATCACTTGGTGAGGAATGGACCGATTTGGCAGTAGAATTGTAGATGAATATGAAAAGTTGCTTAGAAGCGTCACTAAAGCTAATACCATGAGTACTTTTGAAAATAAACGAGTAGGAATAATTGGATATGAGAAGATCTTGTGTAGCATGTCAGTAGGACAGCTGCAGTGCTTTTCTATGTTCATTTTTTTTGTAGTAGATGAATGTTCAAATCAGGTGCTAGAATGAGGATTTGCCTAAAGGACGCTGGAAACGAGACTCAATCACGATACAGGGATTTTTTTTTTTTTTTGCATCCGAGCCTTACCCGAGGTTTGCCCAGCCCCTGGAAGATGACTACAAACATACCAGGACACTCAGCCTTGTCCTATGGCCTACCCAGCCACTGGGAAGGTGAGTACAAACATACCAGGGGCACATCCTGGAGTCAGTGTTAGTGTGGCCAGGGAAGAATAATAGGTAAACACTCCCTCAGACACAGGTTTCATCAGTCTCTTATTACTACAAGAAGTTCATTAGTCTCTTCCGTCTCTCTGCCTCCCAGCGACTTTCATTAACGTTTACTGCCACTTTCTCCTCCCTCTTGGAGCGGAGAGAGCGTGACCTAGTAGCGACTAGCGAAGACGGGGCCAGGAACTGTGAATCGACCCCTGCTCAATGGAGCACAGACACTGACTGATCATGGGGACGTCTCGCCCTGCAACACAATTAGTGAGTACACACACGCACACACACACACACACACACACTACACACACACACACACACACTCACCACAGAGTAGCGTAAGTGGATAGTGGAAGCGATGAGGGGGCGGATCATGACATACCGCAACACATAGGTGATAAAGCTCACGACTCAGAAAGTGACCTAGTAGCGATCAGTGAAGAGGCGGGGCCAGGAGCTCGACTCGACCCCCGCAACCTCAACTAGGTGAGTACAACAAACACACACAATAGAGTTACAAGTGGAGAGGGAAGCAGGAAGGGCAGGACGAATGAAGCCAAACTACAAGAGAGGGGACTACACAGGCATGAAGAAGTTCGTGCACGAGGTTCAGTGGGACAGAACTGGCAGGGAGGTCAGTAAATGAGATGATGGAATATGTGACAACAATATGCAAGGAAGCTGAGGAGAGGTTTGTACCGAAGGGTAACAAAAATAACGAGAAGGCCAGGATGAGCCCTTGGTTCACCCAAAGGTGTAGAGAAGCCAAAACCAAGTGTGATAGAAAATGGAAGAAGTTTAAAAGGCAAAGGTCACAGAGCCAGAAATGCATATGCACAAGTAAGAAGGGAGGCCCAACGACAATACGAAAATGACATAGCAGCGAATGAGAATCTGACCCGAAGCTGTTGTACAGCCACATCAGGAGGAAAAGAACAGTCAAAGACTAGGTAATCAGGCTGAGAAAGGAAGGAGGGGAGCTCACAAGAAACGACCGGGAAGTATGTGAGGGGCTCAACATGAGATTTAAAGAAATATTCACAGAGGAGACAGAGAGAACTCCAGAAAGACGGAGAGGTAGTGTACACTATCAAGTATTGGACATAATACATACAAACGAGGAGGAAGTGAAGAGGCTGCTGAGCAAGCTAGATACCGCAGAGGCGATGGGGCCAGATAACATCTCTTCATGGGTCCTATGAGAGTGACAGTATGTAAAGTACAAGGGCACAAGT